CCTGTCCGTGTGTCTGTGTGTCCGTGTCCATTCTGTCTGTGTGTCCGTGTCTCTGTTGTCTGTCTCCCTGTCCATGTGTCCGTGTGTCCTAGTGTCCATATCTGTGTCTCCATGTCCCTGTCCGTGTGTCCCTGTCCGTGTGTCCCTGTCCGTGTCTCCATGTCCCTGTCCGTGTGTCCATGTCCGTGTGTCCATGTCCCTGTCTATGTCCCTGTCCCTGTGTCCCTGTCCCTGTGTCCATGTCCATGTCCGTGTGTCCCTGTCCCTGTGTCTGTATGTCCCTGTCCCTGTGTCCCTGTCCGTGTGTCCATGTCCCTGTCTATGTCCCTGTCCCTGTGTCCCTGTGTCCCTGTCCCTGTGTCCATGTCCCTGTCCCTGTCCGTGCGTGCCCACCGTGGGTGTGAATCCCCAGGATTTCCATTCCCTCAGGAATCGCCTTCTGCCTTTCCCAGTTCCAGCCACTCCTTGCCTTCCTTTTCTTCTCTCTCCAGTCCATTCTTTGTTCCCCATTCCCCTGAGCTCCTGCAGTTTTCTCTGTAGTGCAGTAGAACCTCACAGTATTTTTTTTCCTGACTTGTTTCTCCTCTGCTGGTTTCTTTCCTTTCCAGTAACTTTCAATTCTTCCCCCAGTATGGTTTTGTCTACCTAAAGCCACAAGGTAAGAGGGAAAAATACAAACATGAGGATACCTCTGGGTGACAACAACTTTGCTTGTTGTTACCTTTTGTCTCTTAAAGCATATGAATGATGCATGTTCACCCTGAATTTCAAACTTGGCTGTTTCATGTGTGGTGTGAAAACTCTTCAGTAGGTTTGTGTCACCTGAAATGTTTAGAAATGAAGGTGGGTAAAGGTTTTTCAGGTGTCAGATTTGGGGATTTTCCCACGTATTTTAATTAATTTTACAAATGCTAACCAGAAGCTTCTTCTGTGTTCTAAGTTTATTTTTTTTCCTTCTTTTTCCAGGTGGAGATTTACATTTTATTTAAGTATATTTTTTTATGGAATCAGGTTTCTCTGGACGGTGAGTTGCTCTGTCACCCATTTGTTTTTCTGTGTGTGGTTGCAGTTGAATGAGCCCTGATTTGGGATCCTGGGGGATCTGTTGAAATCCTTCTTTACACCATAGGGAAACTTCTATACAGATCTGTCATTTTGGAAATAACAGAGAATTATTTAATGTGTTACCTCAGAATGTTGGAAAAAAACAAGGTGGATTTTGTGTTTTTGGTTTTTTTTTGCTATGGAGAGCTGCTCCTTTTTTTCCTCCTGTCTCTCTTGAGGAGATACAGGTTCATCTCCTTGGATTTTTATTATTTTATTATTATTAGAGCTGTATAATTATTTTAGAAATTACCATTGCAGCAGAACTCACAGTGACAGCAGAAATTAGACTTTAAATCACTGGGGTTTTTAACAGTAAATGTAGTTTGAATGGCAGAATGAAGGTGAAATTTCAGTGAAGCACTACTGTAGTGTCAGGTGTCTTTAGGTGCTGGGAAGAAAACACCCAGTACAAACTGAGGTTTTATATAATTTCTTATTTATATATAATAAAAACCTTCCTATTCCTTTTAGGCACCCTGGTTTTGGGACACACGACAGTGCTGGTACAACTACCCTTTCCAGGTAAGAGAGAAACAGCTAAATTCCCATTTCTTTGACAATTTTAATTTTTATTTTCGTTATTATACTGGATTAAATCTCTGCCATTTACTCTTTGTGCCTGGTTAGGTTTGGCAGCAGCAGGGTTTCCTTGGGTACATCTGACTCAGTCACTTTATGTTTATTTGCTGCTGAGATTATTAAAAGTGGGAGAAAAAGGCATAAAATCATAGTGGTAATTTATTTATTTACTGTATGAAGGCCAACAGTCTGTTCCAGAACTTGGTTTTCCCACTCCCAAAAGGCTTCAGCAGGAGTTGTAAATATTGACAAGGGAATTTAGTCCTTTGGAAGAAAGCTCAAACACACAATTATATTTGTGTGAGTAAGCTTGGAATAAGATGTCTGCTGCTTAAGCTTGTTTTTATTAAACCTGAATGATTTAACTTCTGCCTCAGCAATTCTGGAGGAACAAAGTGAGATGGAAAAGGAGGAAGGGAAAAAAGTGATTTTAATGTAAATTTTGAATTATTTTGTGTTGTAACTGTTCTGTCTCTGTCTTTTTTTCCAGCCTCTAACATCCAGGCTTTATTATTACTATATCTTGGAGCTGGCCTTCTACTGGTCCCTCATGTTTTCTCAGTTTACAGACATTAAACGAAAGGTGAGATGAACTAGAATTGCATTAACCACTCAACAGCTAAATAAAAATAGTAATAAATAGATAGGACCAACAAAAAACGGGAGTATGCCTGGCCAGGAAAGCCAAAATGTAGTGATAATTATATTTTCTTCCTCATTTACACCTTTGTGAGCCTCCCTTCTCCTATAAGCACTGTGCAGCCCTGGAAAAAAAAAAATAAGAAGGGAGCAAGGCTGACCTGGTGTATCCTTGAGTTCCTTTCACCTTCCAGGGGACAGAACAGCTTCACTCAATACCTCCCAATCAAAAGTTAACAAATCATTGCCTAAAAATAGATTTAACTGGAAGGCTTGCAAGAAAATGAGCTGCTCAGAGCAGTACCTTGCTGAAGCTGCTGAAGAAATGACAAACACTAAGGCAATAATAAATAGAGTTTTGAAAGGAATTTCTCAACTGTGTGAGGAGCAGATGATGAGTGGTTGCAGTTGCTCAAATCTAATTCTGTCAGGCTGTGCTCCAGGATTTGGTTGTTGTTGCTGTTGGAGAACAGTCCCCAGTAAATCCTGGCTTATTGCTTCCTTTACATGAGCTGCAAAGCAGCAAATTATCCCAATTTTTGCATTGGCTGTTAAAAAAAAAAACAAGTTTACTCAGGCTTTTTTCTGAAATATTAGCAGGTGGGGTACTGTGGAATAGAGTGGAGCTGCAGGCAGTGATGAACAACCTCTGGGACTCTGTAATGGTTTATTTTGACTTGAACAAGTGGATGACATTCCCCACTGCAGCAGGCTGAGCTACAGGAAGCTGGGGGCTGAATATTGTGCATTGTAAACATTTTTTTTGTTCTTCCTGCTGAGTTACCTGGTGTTCTGTGCCTGCTCTGCCCTGGCAGGGTTTGCTCACTGACAGCAGGAGCAGCAGCACTTAAATGTGTGCCAGGAGCTGAGGGGATGAGCAGTGTGTCTGAAAAACCCAGAGGGAGCCAAAAATAAGGGTCAGCTTGTCCTTTAAATCATATCTGTGGGGTCTGCAGGTACAGCTCTGTGTGTGTGTGTGCCAGGGAGACTGTGCTGATTCCTGAGCAGGCAGAGCAGCACCAAAGCTGAGAGACTTTTCTGGAAGCTTTTGTGGAGATGGTTGGAGTGTGATGAGCTGTGATTGGAGTCAGAGCCTGAACCAAAAGAATCCTGTGACCCTGGTGACTCAGTTGGGTGGCTCTGTTCCAAACTTTTGCATTTGTGTGACAGCCAAAGAGTTTTCATTCATGGTTTTCCTGTTTCCAGGACTTCCTGATCATGTTTGTCCATCACTTGGCCACGATTGGGCTCATCACGTTCTCGTACATGAATAACATGGTGCGAGTTGGAACTCTGGTGCTGTGCCTCCACGATGCTTCAGATTTCCTCCTGGAGGTGAATTTCCTTTCAAATCTTTGCTAATTAGAGGATTTTCAAATCCCTAATGCTGGTGTGATCTCAGGGGAACAAGCTGACGTTCCTGTTCTTGATAAACTGCTTTAAATGTGCCATGGAATTGGTGCTGCTGATGCTGCCTTGTCAGCTTTTCCTCCAAACTGTTGGAGTGGTGAGAGTCACAAAACCATGGAATGGTTTGGGTTGGAAGGAACCTTAAAGATCATCCAGTTCCAGTATCCCAGATTGCTCCAAGTCACATCCAGCCAGGCCTTGGACACTTCCAGGAATGGGGAAGCCACAGCTTCTCTGGGTAACCCTCTCAGAGAGGGTGATTTTACCCTCTGGCAGTTTGAAGCCATTTCCCCTTGTCCTGTCACTCCAGGCCCTTGTAAATAATCTCTCCCATTGTTCTTGTAGGACCATATAAATAGCAGTATAAAAATAGTAATGCAATATAATAATCCCTCTTTGTTCCAAACTGTACAAATGTGATTGAGAATTTTTTCTCCAGCTCTCTAGCTGGCTAATTACAGGAGTGCACAAAGGGAATAATATTTGCATGTTTATTGTCTCTTGTAGGCTGCAAAACTGGCCAATTATGCCAAGTACCAGCGTTTGTGTGATGCTTTCTTCATGCTCTTTGGGGTTGTGTTCATCGTGACCCGGCTGGGCATTTACCCCTTCTGGTAAGCACCTGCAGCTGGGAGCTCTTGCTTGCTCTCCCAATCCTTTCAGCACAGCCTTTGTTTTAGATTTTTTTTTTTTTTCCCCCAAGCATTCCAGCTGTCCCTCGAGGCAGCCTGAAGCAGCACATGATGGCCCAAGTGCTGTTTGGGGCAGGAGGTTTTGAGTAGGCACATGAAGAAATCTCTCCCCAGTCAGCTGAGGGGACTGGGGGAAGAGTCCAGAATCCCATTCACAGCTGCCCCTCCCCTGCTGCAGTGATGACAGAGTCAGCCAGAATCTGCTCTGAGAGGCTTGAAGGATTCTCTGCTTCTCTGAAGAAGCTGTAGAAATAATTACTGGTGAGGCACAGTCTCTCGAGGTAATTTTTGTTTGTATCTGGCTTAGTCATCACTGCATTTCTGATTCTTGTGACACTTCTCTCATGTCCTTCAGAGGACTCCTGTTCAGAGCCTGAAATAGGTCTGAGTTTTCTTGGGAGGTAAAACCCTGGATAAATGGCTTAGAGAGAATCATCCCATAATGAGATTCCCTCTCACCTCAGTAGGTCAGACCTGGAGCAGTGCTTTGGTTAATGAGCTATTGTCCATTTTTTGTGTGTGGTGGCAATTTGGTTACAGTTTTACTGCATGCATTTCTTTCCTAGGCCATGGACACCTGGCATTTCCCATTCTTTTTGGGTGCCTGCTAGGCAGCAACAACCCTTCCACTTTAGGATCAGTTAAAGCTCCTGCTTATTTTCCAGTAAATGCACCAAAGGACTCTGGATGAAGAAGAGCTTTAATTCCTATTTCTTTGTAGGTTCCTTCCAGGGACAGACAAGAGAGCTTTAATTCCTATTTCTTTGTAGGTTCCTTCCAGGGACAGACAAGAGAGTTGTTTTTGCAGCTGCTGTCTGAGGGGATGCTCTTACCTCACACCAGTGGTCAGCATCCTGTAAATCTTTAATGTGTTTTCCACTGGCTGTAATGTCACTCCTCAGCTTTGCAGAGGAATCTGACAATCTGCAGCAGCACTGCAGACCCTGTGCTGTGTCACTGCACGTGTATTCCCTTCCCTAATTAGTAATAGAAAACATCAGCAGATCTCTGGAACTGCATTTAATTCTTTCAAAAACCTGCTATGAGTTGAATACTTCTGGAGCTGCCTTTTGGGGCATTTTGGTTCTTGTTTGAAAGGTTTGTTTTGCTTTTCTTGTGAAATGTTCAAAGCTGTGTGAAATTAATGTGGTTGTTAAAGGTCTCTCCATACCCCTCTGCATCATAAAATCTAAAGTGTTTATGAAATTGCTGAAGGACTGGCAATAACTCCCAGCAACAGGAACAGCAAAACAGTAATGAAAGAAACACAAAGCTTGGGCCATAAAGCAGTTTTGAGTCTTCCAGCCTGGCTGGAGGAATCTATAAAACTCGGAGGGAAGAGGAGAGCACCCAGGGGAGGGAGGGAGGCCTTCTGGGAACAAAATTCCTTCCTCATCCCAGAATCCTTAAGACTGGAAAAGCCCTCCAAGACCACCGAGCCCAGCCTGTGACCAATCCCCACCAGAGCAGTGAGTGCCACGTCCAGTTGTTCCTCCAGAGATGGGGACTCCACCACCTCCCTGGGCAGCTCCAATGCCTCACCATCCTTTCCATAAAAAAATTCCTCCTGATGTCCAGCCTGAACCTTTCCTGGCACATCCTGAGGCTCTTCCCTCTTATCCTGTTGTTGCCTGGGAGCAGAGCCTGACACAGCTGCCCCTTCCTGTCAGGGAACTGTGCAGAGCCAGGAGGTCCCCCCTGATCCCCCTTTTCCCCAGCTCTGGACATACTCCAGCCCCTCAATATCTCATTTTCTGTGAGGCCCCAGCACAGCCTCACAGTGCCCAGCACAGAGGGACAATCCCTGCCCTGCTCCTGTGCCCACACTATTTTTTGATAGGATTTTTGATCTTTAAATGTGGGTGAAAGCTGCCCAAGCAGGAAGGTGTTAAAGGTTGTTTTGGTAACCAGAGCAGCCTGACATCACTTCCTGTGAAGTTGTTATAAATAAATGCTTGTGCTTTGGAGAAGAAAATTGGCAGCAGATCCGTGTGTGTAACCAAATTGCAGCACATTCACATGTTCTGTTTTGTTGCTCAGTCTCCTGACTGGCAGGAGCAGAGCAGCAGATGCTCAGTGAGACACAAACTGTTGTGCATCTGGTCTGGCACCTCCAGCTCAGAGCTGGGCACAGCTGATCTGAAATGTATTTCTGGATCTCTTGAAGGATTTTGAACACAACCCTGTTTGAAAGCTGGGAGTTGATCGGTCCCTACCCTTCCTGGTGGCTTTTCAACGGGCTCCTGGTGACCCTGCAGGTCCTGCACGTCATCTGGTCTTACCTCATCATCCGCACGGCCTCCAAGGCCCTGGTGAGGGGCAAGGTAAGGCTGGGGGAACCTTCTGGCTCCTCTTTCCTGCAAGCCCCATCAAGCAATCGTGACAAATTGGGGTTTTTTTCTTAAGGGACTTGCATCAAGAGTTCATAAAAATGGTGGTTTTTTTTACCTTGATTGCTCTGCACTTTGGAGTTTCCAGGTGTGTTTAAAAGCAGGGAGTCTCTCTTGGGCATGCAGGGAAATAACTCAATTTTCCAGGGCATTCAAATGTCCTAAAATGGTGACTATGACACTTTTGTTGTGCACTCTGAAGTTTGAGGTGGTAGCAGGCTCTCTTTTGGACAACAGGATGAACATACAGGATATTTCCCCACTTCAGCTGGGCCTTGGGATGTGTTGGGGATTGTGATTCTGTCTGCCAGTGCAGGCACTGAGCTCCAGCACTCAGGGAAAAGGTTCTCAGGGATGCAGTGGGGTTTGCTGGTTTCAAAAATCACAGGATGGCCTGGGTTGGAAGGGACCTTAAAGATCATCCAGTTCAAGGCCAGGCTGGACAGGGCTTGGAGCAACCTGGGATAGGGGAAGGTGTCCCTGCCTAAGGCAGGGGGTGGAACAAGGTGAGCTTTAAGGTCCTTCCAACCCAAACCATTCCATGATTCTATGAAACCAACAAAAAAGCTGATTTAGTAGCAAAAATGCTTTTTCCTATCAGATATTGATACTCTGATCTGGGTTTCTCTGATGGCTCTGCATTATTTTGTGTTTGACTTCAGCTGCCCCTACACATGGAATGTGGCTTTGAAAAATATAAATATTCTGGTTGACTCTGGGGGCAAGGAGGCTTCAGGGTACGAGCTCTTCATCTGTTCCCCACAGCTGCTACTACAAATGCCTGATTTTCATTCTCTGCAGCTGTTTCTGTATCCTGAGTTCTACACCTTTTCCCTTTCCTTGGTTCTCTCCTGTCCAGGTGACCTAGCCAGAGAAAGGACTCTAAGCTCTGTCTTCTTCATTCTTTTCTCCTTTTCTCTGTGCCAGATTGGAGCTGGACAGTTTCAGCCTGTGCATGTAAGTGTGACCTGTGGTTCTGTTTGTTCACTGAAACACGTCTGTGTCGAGGTCAAGACAAAAGCAGAGCCCTGGTCTTGGGGGTTTGGTGCCTTCTCCTTCTCTCCCTGGTCCTGACAGAGTGCTAAAATACTGATTTTTCCAAAGGTCAGAGCAGTGTCCTGGGGTCTGTTCTTACCTGCTGTCACCTGCCTGCACAACTTACACTTTCTGCTTTTACACACCCACACGCTCCAATTTCTGTCTTTGCTCCTCATCAGCACTGGACTGAGGGGGAGAGGGCAGGAGGAATTTACTCCTTTTTGTGAAAAGGAGTGAAACTTCTCTCCCAAGAATGGAAAAAATGTCAAGGGATTTCTGCTTCCTTCCAGTGACCCTTTGAACTTCCAATATAGCAGGAGACTGGGGGAAGATAGCAAAAGTTCTGGCAACAGGCAGAAGCCAGGCCATCCAAAAAGTTCCTGGAGATCATTAGCTTTATGTGGCTTCCAGCCAGATTTTCCCTGGAATTCAACCTCTTCCTGCTGCTAACCCTGACTCCAAGAGAGTGAAATCCTGGAATCCTTGGAAAGCTGCAAGCCAGAGCACTGGCACGTGGAGTTACTGAGGGCTGCTGGCTGCCCAGGGAGGGGAGTGAGGAGAGTCAGGAGCTGCTTGGGCAGAGCAGGGGCTGCTCTCCAGGCCTGGCTCACGCTGGGGAGGTTTGGCTCTGGATTTGCCACCACCCAAGGTGTGTGTTTGCACTTGGGGCTGGGTTTATGGGCTCTTCCCTTGCCCTTCTGGCTCTGCAGGGCTGCCCTGTGGTGGCACCACACTCGTCCTGGGAAGGTTCAAAATCCCACATGCAAGTCGAACAGAGCTGGATTTGCAGCCAGTCTCTGAACCAAGGCATGCTCTGGATCCCTGGGCTGAGGCTCCTGCATTTCTGAGCTGGTGTTTGCTGGATCAGACACTGCCTCTGCTCTCCATCCCCTGTCCAGACAGGCTCCTGCTCCTAAATGGGATCTCCCACATGAAGCACAGGCTGTGGAAATGGGGGTGCTTTGTTTGAGCAGTGATGTGATAAATGAAGCTGGTTAATTTTTTAAATAGCAAGACTGCTCCTTGTAGGGCAAAATGTTCTGTCTCAGACTGACACATTCCTGGTGTTTGGTTGTGTTGGACCCGCTTGTGATGGTGGCATGAGAAATTTTTGATTCAAAATAAATTGTTTAGAAAGTGACCTGTAAGTGATCTAGAGAGGAGCTCTTGGAAGACAACACCAGATGTGTAATATCACCTGATCTGGTGAGAACAAGAGTGAAGTGCTTTCACAGATGTACAGAGTATTTACAAAATGGAGCTCATCTTTCCAAATTGTCTTTTTCAGTGTCTGTGTCTTGTTCCTAATGTGATGAGGCTCCTTCTTGGGAGCTTGGACTGAGCCAGACCCAAATGTAGGAGGTAGATGTGAGTGAAGGTTGTTCCTCACATGGACACAACCTTCTAACTGCTGGTTTCTGTCGATTTTTCAACTCCCCTTCTCCTCTCCCACTACCCCAATTCCACTGGCCATGTTTAGGTGTCCAAGGATGACCGCAGTGACGTGGAGAGCAGCTCTGAGGAGGAGGATGTGACTTCCAACAGCACGAAAGGAATTCTCAGCACTTCCAGTAACGGTTCCAATCGCCTCAATGGCCACGTGGCTGGCAGCCAGTGGACAGGAGAGGAGTAAGGGCCTGGGCTGGCCATGAGCAAACACGAACTTCTCTTTCAATATCTAGTTGTGTTGAGCTCCACATTCCCAAGTGATCTTTAATCAAAAACCCCTTCCCCAGAAACCTCCAGCAGACCCGAAATGGGCACAACCCTGACCAGTCAGAGGCTTTGCACGGCACAAGGGATGAAGCCAACGACCGGGGCAAAAACAAAGCTGCAGATTTCACTTCAAGCCATTTTGTACTTCAATAAGTACAAAGAAAACACCCCCGAGTCCTGTTTGATCTTTGCAGAGGTGTCTTTGTTTGTGACAAACTGGCTTTTACTGGCATCAGCTCAAGGCAGAGCAGGTTTGGACCGCAGGGTTCGGTGCCACTCAGTGACGGTTCGGTGCCGGCAGGTGCAGCAGCTCTCGATGCACTCCAGAAGCCACTTCAGAGCACAGAGAACGCAGGTTCCGTGTCCCAGCTGCCCTGGGGGAGGCAGAGACTGCTCCCAGCCGAGCTGTGAACTGTGCTAACCCCGGAACCACTGCTCTGCCTCACCCCAGGGTGCTCATCTCTGCTGTCACCAGGGACCAGACCAGCATCTGCTGCCTCTTTTGGTGCTGCAAACCCCTCTGAAGTCTTGACCAAAGCCTTCTGCAAGGGGGTTGGGGGGGGTGGTTTATTGCCCCTGAGACAACCAGCATAATCCAGGCCTTTTAAATTTTCTTCCTGTTGCAAATTGTGGTTTTGAAGACTTATCTACACCTACTGGATTCAGTTAGCTAAGCTGGGATCAGAGGGAGGATCAGAACTGGTGGGCTGGGTTTAACTCTCCAAAAAATGAGATGTTTTGGTCCTGTACTCTGAGACAAATGATTGTTGCTGCTCTGATGTTAGAGCTGTGGAGGAACCCGGGGCTGGAAGAGCAGCCACACTGTGGGCTTTGCTTCTCTTTTTTTACTCAATGGTACTTGGGGGCAATGGAACGGTCAATCAGGAGCAGAATTTTGGAAACTTCTCAAGTTTGTTACCATTTTATACTGTTGTTTACTCTTATCTCCAATTAAAAGTTGCTTCAAAAACTTGGGGGTGATGTGTTTCATCTTGAGGAAATAGAACAGAGGACAGTGTGTGTCCCTGGGCTGCTGCCAGGAGCACAGGAGAAACAACTTTTTGGAAGAACAGGATGGAAGTGATGGGACTCCTGGAACGCCCATGGAATGGGAGTGGAACTGAGTGACTTTTAAGGTCCCTCCCAGCTCAGGCCAGTCTGTGATTTGGGGGACACCACGCTCCATCACACCAGCAACTTTCACACGGATTTTATTGAGCTGCATCTGCCTCCCCCAGCCTGGGGGGCACTGGGAAGGTGGGGCTGGTCCAGAGTGGGCTCAGCTCAGCTCCTGGGGCTGGTCCAGTGTGGGCTCAGCTCAGCTCCAGGGGCTGGTCCAGTGTGGGCTCAGCTCAGCTCCAGGGGCTGGTCCAGAGTGGGCTCAGCTCCTGGGGCTTGTCCAGAGTGGGCTCAGCTCAGCTCCAGGGGCTGGTCCA